TCTCACATTGTCTCCTGGGCTGGAGTGCAATGCTGCTATTACAGCTCGCTGCAACCTCCGCCTCCTGGGTTCACGCGATTCTCCTGCCTCAGCCTCCCAAGTAGCTGGGATTACAGATGCACAGCACCACATCCGGCTAATTTTTGGTATTTTTAGTAGAGATGGGATTTCACTATGTTGGCCAGACTGATCTTGAACTCCTGGCTTCATGATCTGCCTGCCTCGGCCTCCCAAAGTGCTGGGATTACAGGCGTGAAGCCACCACACCCGACGTGCCCTGTTATTATTATATAAGGACCTTCTTTGATTCTTGTAACAGTTTCTGAACCAAAGTCTGATATGAGTATGGTCAACCCTGCTCTCTTGTAAAAACATTAAAAAATTTATTTTAGATTCAGGGGTACACATGCAGGTTTGTTACCTGGATATATTGCATAATAGTGAAGTTTGGGTTTCTAGTGAACCCATCACCTAAACAGTGAACATTGTACCCAATAAGTAATTTTTTAGATCAAATATCTTTTGGAGTCCCCAATATCTATTATTCCCATTTTTATGCCTGTGTGTACCCATTGTTTAGCTTCTACTTATAAATGAGGATATGCACTATTTGATTTTCTGTTTCTGAGCTATTTCACTTAACATAATGTCCTCCAGCCTCATCCTTGTTGCTACAAAGGACATGCTTTCATATTTGTTATGGCTGGGTAGTATTCCATGGTGTATGTATACCACATTTTTAAAATTTAATCAGCGGTTGATAGACACAGAGTTAATTCCATGACTTTGCTATTGTGAATAGTGGTGCAATAAACAAACAAGCTTAGGGGACTTTTGATATATTGATTTCTTTTCCTTTAGGTAGAGAGGAAAAGTCATAGGATTGCTGGGCCAAATGGTACTTCTATTATTTAGCTCTTTGAGAAATCTCTTCTGTTTGCCTTAGCAGTTGTACTAACTTACATTCTTATCAACAGTGGATAAGCATTTTCTTTTTCTCTGCATCCTCATCAACATCTGTTATCTTTTAATTATAGCCATCTGACTGGTGTGAGATGCTATCTCATTGTGGTTTTGATTTGCAGTTCTTTAATGATTAATGATGTAGAACATTTTTACACATGCCTGTTGGCCATGTGTATGTCTTCTTTTGAGAAATGTCTGCTCATGTCCTTCACCCACTTTTTAATGTGGCTATTTGTCTTTTTTCTTGTTGATTTGAGCTCCTTACAGATTCTGGATATTAGTCCTTTGTTTGATGCATAGTTTGCAGATATTTTCTCCCATCCTGAGGTTGTCTGATTATCCTGTTGATTATTTATTTTGCTGTGCAGAAGCCCCTTAATTAAGTCCCATTTGTCTATTTTCTGTTTTCATTTCAGTTGCTTTTCTGGTCTTAGTTACAAATTCTTTGCCAAGACCAATGTCCAGAAGAATTTTTCCTAGCCTTTCTTCCAGAGTTTTTATAGCTTCAAGTCTTACATTTAAGTTTTTAATCCATATTAAGTTAATTTTTGTATATGGTGATAAATAGGGGTCCAGTTTCATCCTTCTGCATATGGCTAGCCCATTTTCCCAGCACCATTTATTGATTAGGGTATACTTTTCCCATTGTTTATTTTGTTGACTTAGTTGAAGATCAGATGGTTGTAGGTATGCGATTTTATTTGTGGGCTATTTTGTTTCATTGATCTGTAGGTCTGTTTTTGTACTAGTACCATGCTGATTTGGTTATTATAGCCTTGTACTGTACTTTGAAGTGAGGTAAGGGGATACTTTCAGCTATATTAATTTGCTCAGGATTGCTTTGCCTATTTGGGCTTTTTTTTTTTTTTTTATGAATTTTAGTTTGTTTTTTTCTAATTCCATGAAAAACTACACTGATAATTTNCTTTCAGCTATATTAATTTGCTCAGGATTGCTTTTCCTATTTTTTTTTTTTTTTTTTCTCATATGAATTTTAGTATTTATTTTTCTAATTCCATGAAAAACTACACTGATAATTTCATAAAAATTGCATTGAACCTGTGGATTGCTTTCGGCAACATGGCCATTTTAATGATGTTGGTTCTTTCAATCCATGAGCATGGGATTCTTTTTATTTGTTCATGTCACCTACACTTTTCTTCATTGGTGTTTCGTAGTTCTCCTTGTAGAGGTCTTTTGCCTCCTTGGTTAGGTGTATTGTTAGTTATTTTAATCTTTCATGGCTATTGTCAACGGGATTGAGTGCTTGATTTGGTTCTAAGCTTCAGTGTTATTGGTATATAGAAATTCAACTTATTTTTGTACATCAGTTTGTATTGAAACTTTACTGAAGTTGTTTATCAAGTCTACAGTCTTTTGGAGGAATCTTTAGGGTTTTCTAGGTATAAGATCATGTAGTCAGTGAACAGATAATTTAAACCTGACAAAATCTGGAACAGACTCATAGCTAATTTCATACTTAATGGCCAAAGACTAGATGCTTTCCCCAGATATGAGGAATGAGACAAGAATTCTCTTGCTACTTCTATTCAACATTGCAATGGAAGAAGCAAGGCAATTAGCAATAAGAAGAAATAAAAGGGATCCAGAATGAAAAGGTAGAAGTAAAACTGTATTTTCAGATGACATGATTTCATGGAAAACATAAACATATAGAAAAAATATAGAAATCCATTAAAAATTATAAGGACTAATTTTAAATGAGTCCACGAAACTTGTAGGATATAGGATGAATATAACAAATCAATGGTATTTCGTTGCACTAGCAATGCAAAATCTAAAAATGAAATTAAGAACGCAATTCCATTTACAGTAACATCATTTTTTTCAATGCTGAAAGGAATGAAATAAAACCTAAATGAATGAAAATTCTTATGCTTATGAATTGGAAGTCTTAATATTGTTAAGATGAAAATACTCCCCAAATTTATCTGTAGATTAAACATAATCCCTCAAAGTCCCAGATGATTTCCTTATAGAAATTGACAAGATTATAAAATGTATATAGAAATGCAAGTGACCCCCAATAGCCAAAACTATCTTGAAAAACAAGAACAAAATTGGAGAATTTATGCTTCCCAATTTTAATACTTACTATAAAACAACACTAATCAAGGCTGGGAACAGTGGCTCACGCCTATAATCCCAGCACTTTGGGAGGACAAGGAGTATGGATCCCTTGAGGTCAGTAGTTCAAGACCAGCCTGGTCAACATGGTGAGATCCTGTCTCAATGAAAAACAGAAAAATTAGCCAGGCGTGGTGGCAAGCACCTGTAATCCCAGCTACTCAGGAGGATGAGGCAGGAGAATTGTTTAAACCCGAGAGGCAGAGGTTGCAGTGAGCCATTATGCCACTGCACTCCAGTATGTGCAACGAAGTGAGACCCTGCCTCAAAAAAACACAACAACAACAAAACAACACTAATCAAGACAGTGTGTACTGGAAAAAGGATAGGCATAAATCAATGGAATAGAGTTGAGATCAGAAATAAACCGATGTGTCTATGGTGAACAGATTGTCTACAAGGGTGCCAAGAATATTCAATGGGGTAATGAATAATCCTTTCAATAAATGGTACTGGGTCATTTGAATATCCACATGAAAAAGAATAAGGTTGGACCCTTATCTTAACCCACATACAAAAGTTAATTCAAATGGATCAAAGGACCTAAATGTAAGATTTAATACTATAAAACTCTTAGAAGAAAGTATAGGGGAAAATCTTCATGATCTTGGATTAAGCAATAGATTCTTAGTTATGACATCAAAACCATGAGCAAAAAAAAAAAAAGATAGATAAATTTCACCTCATTCGAGTTAAAAACTTTTGTGCTTCAAAGGAAACTATAAAGAAAGAGAAGAAACAACCTACAGAATGGAAGGGAATACTTGCACATAGTATATCTGATCAAGGATGTGTATCTAGAATCATTTAAACAATCTAAATTCAGTACAAATACCCAAATTAAAAATGAGTAGAGAATTTGAATATGTATTTCTTTAAATTAGACATATGAATGATTAATAAGTATATAAAAGATCTTTGCTGTCATTTGTAATTAGGAAAATATAATTCAAATCCAGAATAATATATTACTTCACACTTCCTACCATATGAACAATGCAGCCTCAAAATTCCTGCACCAGCTTACATCATCTAATTTTCCATAATCCACTTCACAACTTCCCTACCAGGGCCATGATCTGTCAGCAACAATAGCACTTTCCACCACTGTAAGATTCATAAATTAGAAGTTGTTTATTTTTGTGCTCTAAATCAATTTAAATAGCATTTGAATTATTTGTTCCTTGAAGATTTAAACAAATTAATTATTAAACTATCTGCTCTAATGCTTTCTGGATGAGAATAGGAAAGCATCTCTTTGACAAATTTTTCAAAAATTTCCATGGAAATTGGTATGTCAAAAAATGTCTATTGCTTTTGAGGTCATTTTGTAAGCTTATTTTTTCCATAAATGTATTCATGTTTTTCTTCTAATTTTCAAATTTGTTTGAATAAATTTGAACAAAGTATTCTCTTAAATTGCTTTTAATTTTCTCTGTATTTTAATCACACCCTCATTTTCAATTTCAACTTCATATGTTTGTATTTTCTTCCTCTTTTTGGATTAATTATACTAGTCAACTCTATTTTTTCCCCTTTTTTCCTTCTTTCCTTCCTTTTTCCTTTCCTCCTTCCATCCTTTTTTCTTTCCTTCCTTCCTTCCTCTCTTTCTTTCTTGCTCTCTTTCTCTCTTTAGTATCATATTTTCTTTTTCCCCCAAAAGCAACTGCTATCATTAAAATACAGTGTCCCAAAGCAATACATTCCCCGAAAGCATGTGTTCACACACACACACACACGCACACCATTTAAAAATATTTTAAAACTGCATCGTCTCTGTAGTAGGAAAACGGTGTTATGAGGTCAGGACATAACAGGCAATAGACAATACTTTAATCACTTGTGCACAAAGTGATATTCATTGGAAGTACTCCACTTTTCCCACCTTTATTTATCAATGATAGGTAATTTTTTAAAACAGTATTGCATATTGAGATAGGTAATTTTTTAAAATGTTCAGGGCTCCTTTTTATGTCTTCTGAGGGAAAAACCCAATTATACTGCCTAGTGCTTTTCTTAGGGCTATCTGCATTTCTTTGTTCCTCAGATTGTACACAATGGGATTAAGCAGAGGTGTCAGTATTGTGTATGCCATGGCCATCAGCATATTTTCATGGAAGGAGTTGCTGTTCTTGGGCCTCAAATAGACAAAGGAAGCAAATCCATAGTGTATGCACACAACAGAGAGGTGGGAGGAGCAAGTTGAGAAGGCCTTAGACCTCCCCTTGGCAGAGGGCATCTTTATGACTATGAATACAATGAAGACATAGGAAATCATAATTAAAATAAAGCTGCCCACCAACACAAAGGCAGAGAGCACAAAAATAGCCATTTTATAATAGGAAGTGTAATTACAAGCAAGGGAGACCACAGGTGAGATATCACAGAAGTAGTGCTGGATAGCGTTCAAGTCGCAAAAAGACAAGTTGAATACAGTGACGATGATGCACAGAGAAAACAGGAACCCAACCATCCAAGAAGCCATCATCATCTGCAAGCAGCTGTTTCTTGTCATAAGGGTGTGGTACTGCAGTGGGTTGCAGATGGCTGTGTAGCGGTCATAGGACATGGCACCCATGATGAAACAGTTATTCGATGCGAAGCCCAAAAAGAAAAACATCTGTGTGGCACACTCAGGAAGAGAAATGGTCTTGCTCTCTGATAGCAAGTCCACCAGCATGCGAGGGATGACTACCATAGTGGTACAGGTTTCTGAAAAGGACAGGCCACAGAGGAAAAAGTACATGGGAGTGTGAAGGTTGTGGCTGAGCTTGATGGCCCCCATTACAGACACATTTGCCGCTATGATAGTCACGTGGAAGAAGAAAATCACCGCAAAAAGTAGACGCTGCAGGTCTGAAAAACTGGAAAATCCCCACAGAAGGAATATGCTCACTGCAGTGCGATTGCCCATCCTCCTGGTGGGCACAGCCACTGTCTATCAATGGTGCAGAGGTGTTCTTGGTCAGGAGTCTGAGATCACTGTATAAAGTTCCTTATGCACTGATTTAACTGTATTTTATTCAGGGAACCTGGGCAACTGTCAGGCAATTCTTAGAATACCTGGGGAAAGGGAGTTAAATGCATCTGGAAAGAGGTCAAAGTCAGGAGCCTAGTGATGAGAAGAATGATTCTAGTATGATAGCAAGTATAGATGACATTGAGTGGGCCCAAATATTTATAACTGGATTCTACCCACAAAAGCACTGTTTATCTCCCTCTTCTCCATTCTGGATCTACAAGGAAGATGCAAAATATGAATGAAAGTTTTTTTTTTTTTTAATCTCACCTGCTGGATTTTGAGATGTTACATTTATCAAATGCTTTTTGTGATTTAGTGGTACCCTAGCACTCAGGAGTGCTTAAAATAAACTGTTGATTGAATGAATAAAATAATTCAATTATTTAAAATTAATATAACACTTAGAAAATTCTGAGAGATCAGTGAAAATTTTCTTCCACTACAGTCCTCCACTCTACCAACTGAACTATCGAAGGCTCCACTCAGTGAAAATTTTCAAAAGAACATTCACATTTCTTTCAATGCAATTCTATCTTCATCAGTGCTCTCCACAGTGTAGTGGCTCCGAGGGTGACATTTGTGTCAATGACTAAGACAAATCAATTTAACATGTTGTATCTTCTGGGTTCATATATGTGATAATAATAACGCTTGAGACATACAATATCAATTGTTCTTATTACAATAGCTCTTAAGATATATCATTAATTTTTAAGTTCTTAAGAACATCATAAATCAAGAATGAACTGCCATTCACAATTGCTACAAAGAGAATAAAATACCTAGGAATACAACTAACAAAGAATGTAAAGGACCTCTTCAAGGAGAACTACAAACCACTGCTCAACGAAATAAGAGAGGACACAAACAGATGGAGAAGTATTCCATGCTCATGGTTAGGAAGAATCAATATTGTAAAAATGGTCACACTGCCCAAAGTAATTTATAGATTCAATGCTATCCCCATCAAGCTACCAATGACCTTCTCCACAGAAATGGAAAAAACAAACTTAAACTTCATATGGAACCAAAAGAGAGCCCACATAGCCAAGTCAGTTTTAAGCAAAAAGAACAAAGCTGGAGGCATCACACTACCTGACTTCAAACTATACTACAAGGCTACAGTAATCAAAACAGCATGATACTGGTACCAAAACAGAGATATGGAACAGAACAGAGGCCTCGGAGGCAATGCCACACATTACAACCATCTGATCTTTGACAAACCAGACTAAAACAAGCAATGGGGAAAGGATTCCCTGTTTAATAAATAGTGTTGGGAAAACTGGCTAGCCATGTGCAGAAAGCAGAAACTGGACCCCTTCCTGACACCTTACACTAAAATTAACTTCAGATGGATTAAAGACAAACATACGACCTAACACCATAAAAACCCTAGAAGAAAACCTAGGAAAAACCATTCAGGACAGAGGCGTAGGCAAGGACTTCATGACCAAAACACCAAAAGCATTGGCAACAAAAGCCAAAATAGACAAATGGGACCTAATTGAACTCCAGAGCTTCTGTGCAGCAAAAGAAACAATCATTAGAGTGAACTGGCAACCAATAGAATGGGAAAAAATTTTTGCAATCTACCTATCTGACAAACAGCTAATATCCAGATTCTACAAGAACAAAAACAGATTTACAAGGAAAAAACAAACAAGCCCATTCAAAAGTGGGCAAAGGATATGAACAGACACTTTACAACAGATGACATATATGAGGCTAACAAACATATGAAAAAATGCTCATCATCACTGGTCATTAGAGAAATGCAAATCAAAACTACATTGAGATACCATCTCACACCAGTTAGAATGGCAATCATCAAAAAATCTGGAGACAACAGATGCTGGAGAGGATGTAGAGAAACAGGAACACTTTTAATCTGTTGGTGGGAGTATAAATCAGTTCAACCATTGTGGAAGACAGTGTGGCGATTCCTCAAGGACCTAGAAATAGAAATTCCATTTGACCCAGCAATCCCATTACTGGGTATATATCCAAAGGATTATAAATCATTCTATTATCAGGACACATGTACACTAATGTTCATTGCAGCACTGTTTACAATAGCAAAGATTTGGAACCAACCCAAATGTCCATCGATGATAGACTGGACAGGAAAATGTGGCACATATATACCATGGAATACTATGCAGCCATAAAAATCAATGAGTTCACGTCCTTTGTAGGGACACAGGTGAACCTAGAAACCATCATTCTCAGCAAACTGACACAAGAACAGAAAATCAAACACTGCATGTTCTTACTCCTAGGTGGGTATTGAACAGTGAGAACACATGGACACAGGGAGGGGAGCACCACACACTGGAGTCTGTAGGGGGGAACTAAGGGAGGGACAGTAGGGGAGTGGGGAGTTGGGGAGGGATAACATGGGGATAAATGCCAGATATAGGTGATGGGGAGGAAGGCAGCAAACCACATTGCCATGTTTGTACCTATGCAACAATCTTGCATGTTCTTCACATGTACCCCAAAACCTAAAACGCAATAAAATATATATTTTAAAAAAGAACATCCTGTTGAAGTTATTTTTGAAGTGTCTAATATCATATAATGGATTAACTTAGATTTAATATAATTTTGAAGATACTGGCTCATTCCAGAATGGCATATTCTGATCATAATGTTCTGATCAATTTTTGTGTTTTTAGCAGGACTTCCAGAACATTTGTCAGCTAGTATACTTAAGTAGTTTGCTTTGCAACAAGCCTAAGAAGAATATTCTTCAGATCAATTTTGCCAGTAACATTTCTATTTTGACTGTTCAACATGTAATCTGATTAGCAGATGAGGGCAGAAAAGTGATACTAGACTCTTCATATAATTCTTATTTTAATTTCAGTCATGGTTAATGCTGAAGGAAAAGAAATGAGGAAGCAGGTATGAGAATGAAGTGCTGGGAGAGAAAAAAGAAATGCTGGCTGAAATTATTTTGAAAGATTCATCAAGACTAAAGACAAAAAAAAGACAAAACACAAAACAATTATATTGTAAATTGAGAAGTTACTGTCTTCCATGTGCATTGCATTTGTAGGCAAAGAATACAAGAAGAGTTAGGGCAAGTAACCAGCACCTACTCAATACCAATAATGTGTTAAACAATATGCTAGGATTAGACAGAACTGTCTCATGTAATTCTCATAAGGCTATGCGAAGAATTTTTGTCTTTATTTTACAAAATGTGAAAGCAAGGTATGGAGTGGTTACATGACTATCAAAGGCCATGAATTGACTCCATATATATTGACTAGAGGCCAATGATGTATCCAGCATTTGTATGCATAGGAAGGACAACATGGAACCAGACATGTAGGATCTCTGTGATGCGAGAGTGCTTCACTACTGTCTTTTGTGGAATTTGAAAGCCCTCTCTGAGGAGGTGACACACTTAAATGAAGAACAGAATGACTATATGTAAACAATAGATGATGATCAGGGGGAGAATACTGCAGGCACAAGGCACAGATAACACATAGACCCTGAGGTGGAAAACAACTATGCCCAAGCATTTTTCAACCAAGACTCATATCACTTATTTTTTAGTCTACTCCCCACAGGTTCTTTCCTCTGAAGGTTTCCCAGAGGATTTACCTCTAAAGGAAAGTCTTTCCCATTTTTATTGTTTCAGAACCACTACTTTGCATGACTCAAATTTTAGCCTCTATCAAAAAAGGATCTCCAATTTCTTCTGGGACATCTCCAAATTCAGAATGTCCTCCAAGTACTGAATACAGATTTTTACAGCAGAATCGGCCATATTCCCCCACATATTGGGTTTTCTTCCTGTGTTTTCTATTTATTTCCAGACATCAGAGAGTTACTATTAGACTGCATTTCTTATTCCTTCCACATCTTTTACCCCAATAAGTTACTTCCAAAATTCCAGATATCTGTTTTTCAACATCTTAACCTTCTTTTTTAGTCCCTCTGCTATTGTCCTATGTCTGCCCCATAGGGTGAGTATGGCATCTCTTTCTCCCAGTTCTACCCTTCACCCACTGCCAGCTTATTTATGTCAAACCTGTGATCACGCTATGTCTCCTCATTATGGATGTCTTTTGGACCCCTTTTGCCTACAAGCTAAATAATAATAATAACTTACACTCTTCATTATATGTTTTGGTTATATAGTATTGTACATACTCATAGTTACTCTAAGATATAAGTACTATTAAAATGATCTTATTTGCAATTAGGAAATTGTGGCTCAGAGAGGTACCTGATTTGCCAAAAGTGAGATAGTAAATGTACATGCACAGCATATTTACAGCAAGGCAGTGAGAGTCTAGAGAACTACATGCTTAGCTAGTAGATTCTAAGGGGAATTCCACCTAGCATGGCTTCAGGGTCTTACCTGTCCATCCTCATTTCCTTCTGCTAACTTCTCCTACATAAGAAAAATTCCACTATTTCCCAAATACAGCACGTCCTTTTGGGGCTCTTATACTTTATCCATGTTATTTTCCCTAAGTTGCAACGTCTTTCCTGCCCTTCTCTGCCTCCTAAAAACATAGCTTTCTCAAAATGACAATTAATCACTTCTCAAAAGACTCTCTAAATTTGCCTAGGTATTATTCATCTTCTAGATTCACATGGCATTTTATTATAATAAGGTATTTTTTACAAGCTTGACTCTTGTACTAGACAGGAAAAACACCTATGTAAAATTTTGTCTCTCCCAATTTTCAGCCTAAGTTGAGTGCAATGTCAGTTTTGACTAAGGGTAGTTCGATGGCAATAGGATAAAATAGGATCCATATTCTCCAGAAAGCCTTCCATGATTATGACTTCAATTCATTCATTAATTCTTCCCCAACACATTGTTTGAACTTTCACATTTACTTTATTTAGACATACACTAAAGATAGTTGGCTACTAAGTAGATTTTAAGGATCTTTTCACCTAGCAATGTGAATGCAATAGGTGCTTTCTAAAGGCTTGCTTAATTGCACTTATGAATGTTGAGCAACAACAAAAACAAACAAGTTTTGAAAACTTCAGCAGTGGTTGCTTAGAGCCTAGGAGAAAGAAACTATCATTTTTACATTCTACATTTTACATTTACTCCCCTTATTTACTGTAATATTAAATCACACTTGACCTGTAAATGGTCATATTAGAGTCACTAGGAGAGCTTCATCAAAGAATATATTTTTCATCTCCAGGAGATTTTTCATCTCCAGGATATCAGGATATGTATAGTTTGCACAATCTTTCTCAGTGATTTTGGTCGGGATCATTTGACTTTTGTGATATCTTTCATACATGTTGATGGTAAAATCTGCTTTCCTCATTATTTAAGTATAGTAGTGACAAAAGATATATCCATACAACATTACCCTCTTCCTTCCCAAGGACACTGGCAGCTTCTGGAGAACAAGATGCCCACAAAATTGTGTCAGCCTCTCTGTTTGGTTTCCCCAAGTCTTACCCTTTTCCTATACCTGGATTTTGCCTTGAGTTTGCCATCCTGTTCTGTTTTTAGTTCTTCAAATCCCTCCTCATGTAGTTTTCTGGGTTTTATCTCTACCAAGAATAAGAAACAGACAACATTCTTAATTTCCAGCTATCTGTGCCCATAGTTTCTTCAGTACTACTGAAGAATAGTAGTAGAATATTCAAAATACTTCAACTTCTAACAGGCTGTAAACACACACAGATACTTGATTATTAGAACATATAGAATGATGTACATTGTAAAAAGTAAAACAAAAAATCCCCAAAACTCTAAAATTCTTACCTTCTAAAGAAGGAGAATCACCTTCCAGTTTTTTTAAAATCATGAAGTATTTAAGCTGTAGGAATAATGTACAGTTTGACAACTCAGGTGCAGCTTTCTGCAGTTCCTTCTGTCATTTCACTCATGTCATTATTCATGGATAAGTGTTAAAGCAACTTTTTCCTTTGAACGCCTATGATCAGTCCCCTCCAAATTTAGAGTCACCTATACTTAAAAGGTAATGTTATCTTCATTTCTTGGAGATGGCACTCAGAATCATGAAGATTTTAATGAGAGTCCTGGAAGCCACTATCTTGCAACTACTGATTTAGACAACACAGTCTTGACTTCTATATCCTCTATGTGATGCTCACAAGTATGTTTTCTTAAATCCTCACACACCATAGGGGCTTTTCAGTGATGTTTGCTCCTGTTCTTCTGAATAACAGTAGAAATGATTGAAATTCAACTTGTTAAAAACATATCCTTAGAATGCAGATGATTTCCTTGGGCATATTTTACTTTCTGCACAATACCATTTATTTTATGATTCTGAAAATTTGTGAAGTCTCTCAGGTCTCTTCAAACTTATTCACAGGGCAAGGGAATGGGTCATCATTAGAAGCAATTGCCTGGGGAAACAAAAGAAGGAAGGTAAAAAGAAAACAAACACGCAGTATGATCGCTGTGATTTTTTTCTCATGGGGCAACTACACTGTAGAAGACCTTACTGAAAAGGAATATCCACTATTATTCAAACCTCCAGTTACTGCACTGCCATCTGTAATATCCACAGGTGGCTTCGAATTGCCCCTCTGGTTAGCTTGTCCCTCAGTGTCTTCACCACCTATAACAATCTTCTACCTAATGTACTAGCAAGTCTTGTCTCCAATATCTGTTTTCATCATCTCAATACTTCAGGCAAACTAATGCACTGTTTTCTAATAAAATTCTGCATTTTCCTCATTTTGTTTTCTGTCTGAAAAATCTCTATTCTTGATTTCACCTATCCGACAATTTGCACATTCTTCAAGGCTCAGAACAAATGCCACATAATCCAAGAAACCCCTAGCTTGCCTAGCTTGCACAATGTACAAAAACCAAGTCAAAAATTGCCATCATTAAGAAGGAATTCTATAAGGAGAGCCACTTACTTTGGATAACTTGCATTGGGTACCAGAACATCAATGCTAACAGAGTCAGTGTAGGTAGCTGTACACAGTAAATAAGACTTCTTGAAATTAAGTAGACATCTTAGTGCCTTTCCTGGATCTCCCTTACCAGAGCAGTAAATACATTCCCAAGCTTATTTGAGAGCAGCTTCTAACATATATAAACCTCTCTTTTGAGAATTGCTCTTAGCCAAAGGGAACATAAGCTACTTAGGAATAGCTGGGAGTGCATGCCCTCACACCCAGGGTGGCCCGTAGCCAACAACGGAATGATATGGTGATTTTAAAACAACAATGGCAGAAATGTCCTATTGTTGCAAGCTAGAACCACTCCGAAGTGCCATTTGTGCTCCAGTGCTTCCTCAGGAATCAGACTGAAGCTATTTTCAGCTGACCCCACACCTTTCTGTGGCATATTCCCATGCCTTGTCCTGCTTCTTTCTCATTCTTAGTTTTCTCCTGAGATCACTCTTTTACTAAATCATACACATTTGAATTGCTAAGGTTCTGCTTTTGTAGAATGTGTCATAAGGCAGAGTCTTAATAAATACACAGAATAAAGATTGCTTATACTTTATTATACACACTCAAAATTGAAAAATAGTAAAGTATATCTAGTGACAGAATATCGTGAAAACAAAACAAAACAAAATAGTAATGTATAAACAGTACCTACCCTCTCCCATCTTGAACCAGTCTGTTTTGTATTCTACAATCTCTCATTCCTGCTTTGGGCCTTTTTCTACCACTTTTATCTTTTTCATGTCTGGTAGAGACTGAAACTTTGCCAACTTGAAGGAGCACCTCACAGTGACCATGGGCCTTCTTCAGCTCTCATCACCAAGGATCACATAGTTTCTGAGGTTGCCAACCCCAGCTGTCTGAGTCAATGGGATACCATGCACACTGAGGTCCACAGTCACCATATGCCCCTTCATTTGGTACCTCATGCATTCCAGTATGTCTAACCCACTGCAGGTGAAGGTCTTTACTCTAAAAAGTCAGTTTATGAATTTTGGAGGGGATGACTGCTTCTGCAAATGCATAGACATCTACACAAAGTTACAAGAATCACACAGAATCAGGAAGATATGATGCCACCAAAAGAACACAATAAACTCCCAGTAATTATCCTCAAAGAAAAGGAGACCCACAAGTTGACTGAAAAAGAATTTGAAATAATTGTTCTAATGAATGTCAGGGACTTGAAAAAAAATGCAGATAAACAATTTAACAAAATCAGGGAAAAAATTTAAATAAGAATTAAAGAAAGAGGAAAACATTAAAAGAAACAAATTTTGAGTGAAAAATACAATGACTGAATTAAAAAATGCAATAGAGTTCTTCAACAGCAGACTCAATTAAGAAGAAGAAAAACAATCAGTAAAATCAGACAGGTCATTTGAATCAAAGGAGAAAAGGAAAATAATTTAAAAAATGAAGAAACTTTATGGGCTATGTGGAACACTATTAAGAGAGCTAACTTTGTATTAGGGGAGCTCACAAAAAAAAGAGAGAGAGAGATAGAGAATGGGGCAGAAAGTTTACTGAAAGAATTATGGCTGAAAACTTCCCAAATCTGGGGAGAGACCCTCATGTCACACTGTACACAAAAATTAGGTGTGGTGGTTCACACCTGTAATCCCAGCACTTCGGGAGGCTGAGGTGGGCAGATCACTTGAGGTCAGGAGTTTGAGACCTGGCCAATATGGTGATACCCGGTCTCTACTAAAAATACAAAAATTAGCCAGGTCCTGGTGGCGAGTGCCTGTAGTCCCAGCTACTCAGAAGGCTGAGGCAGGAGAATTGCTTGAGCCTGGGAAGCAGAGATTGCAGTGAGCGGAGATTACAGTGAGCCCAGATCACACCATTGCACTCCAGCCTGGGCGACAGGGCGAGACTCTGTCTCAAAAAATAAATATATAAATGACATCAATTATTTCCAA